TGGAACTAGCAGTAATAGTAGTAGTAGTAGTAACAGTAGTAGTAGTAGGCTTAGTAGTAGTAGTAGCAGCAGCAGCAGCAGTAATAGTAGTAGTAGTAGTATTAGTAATAATAGTAGTAGTAACAGTAGTAGTAGTAGTAGTAGTAGTAGTAGTAGTAACAGTAGTAGTAACAGTAGTAGTAGTAGTAGTAGTAGTAGTAGTCGTAGTAGTAGTAGTAGTAGTAGTAGTAGTAGTAGTAGTAGTAACAGTAGTAGCAATAATAGTAGTAGTAGTAGTAATCATAAGAGTTATAGTAGTAGTAAAAGGAATAACAGTAGTCGTAGTAGTAGTAGCCGTCGTAGTAGTAGTAGTAGTGATAATAAGAATAGAAGTAGAGGGTGTGCGCACGTCAAATGGCTAGTCCGTGCCATTGACTGTTCTAACTGCTTGATCTTGAACAGCGGGAGGAGGGAGAAGGACGATTGGAGAGGGGGAGGAAGATAGGACGGGAGGCTGGAACTGCGCTCGCGACAAGAAGTCGTTGGCCATTTTCTGCTTCCTGGGGCCCCTTTTGGGAGACCCAGGGCCACAAAAAAAGACCCAGGATGAAAGGCCAGCCCTGGGGAAGGTCTCTGGACCTCTGGGCGCCTACGCTGTGAACGACAAGTCACGACGTCGGAGGTGCGGATCCTCTGTCGCCCCTCCCCCGCTTCCTCTCTCCTCCTCGTTCCTGCTTCCTCCTCCTCCTCCTCCTCCTCCTCCGGCCTCTGCTATGTGAGTGTTCCCTGGGTAGCTTTTGGCGCGTTGGTTTTGCCTGGCCTCCGCCCTACTCTCCTGGGATCCTGGGTCGTCTCAGGCGTTTGCCCTTTCTGGGCCCCCTCTGGGCACATTCCATTCTGCAATGCTCAGGCCCCAAATTTCCCAGCCAGCTGGTGGGGTCAAAGCGGCGGTTAGCCAATGGCGCCCAGGCTTTGGCGTTTTCTGGGCCCCCTCAGGGCACTCAGGCTCCCAAGGCTTGACCGGCGCCACCAAGGGTATCGGCGAAACAACGGCCACCAGCATCATATCCGCAGGTTTCACGTCAGCTATCATCACGCCAGATATATTATAAGTATGTGGAGTTCCTTGGTAGCGTATTTTTGTTGTTCCGCGCCGCGGCCGCTCAACTGATTTCGCCCAGCTGAACTCGCCCAGGACTCAACTCGCCCAGCACTCAACTCGGCAAGGTTGAACTCGCCCTGCCGAACTCGCCCAGTTGAACTCGCACCACGCTCAACTCGCCTGGCTGAAGTCGCACTACACTCAACTCGCCCAAGCTCCACTCGCCTGGCCGAACTCGCACCGAGCGCATCTCGCCAGGCTGAACTCGCCCAAGCGTTCCAACCTCAGCGGTAGCAGCACTCCAGGGTCCTGAGATGCATGTTCTTTGGTGGAACTCGCCGTGGCTCAACTCGCCCCGGCTCAACGCGCCCAGCCCTGCGAGTTGAGCCTGGGCGAGTTGAGCCTGGGCGAGTGCAGCCTTGGCGAGTTGAGCTCTGGACGAGTTGGGCCTGGGCGAATTGAGTCCTGAGCGTGTTGGGCTCGGGCGGGTTCAGCCCTTGTCGACCCCAAGCCTCCCCGTGGCCATGTCACAAAACGGTGGGGTAACTTCGAACCCCCCCTCCTCTTCCGTGGGGGGGGAGCTTGAAGCTGGGTCCCTCCTTTTAGTATGTCGGACCTTCTGGTCGCCGCAAGCAGAGCACTCGAAGGGGTCCGAATTCGACCTGCCGTGGTCCGAGGCGCACGTCGCGCAGCCCGCGCGATCGCTGTCGTAGGCGGCATTGCACTGCGCGATGGCCACGTCCGGATCGACGGGAGATCGCATCGCGACCTGCCCGGGAGGAAGCAGACAGCCCAGCTGCAGCGACACATAAAAGTACCCGTTGGCCACGCAGGCGCCCCGGTTCGGGCACCTGTGGGCCTCAGCCTCGCTGGCTGCCTCGTCAGCTTGGCCGCGGAACATGGCAACGCCAGGGGGGATCATGGCATGCGAGTTGTCGACGATGACCTCCATGTCAACCTTCTTCGTCAACAAGAGCGAGCATTTCCTGTCCGAGTCGGCCTCTTCCGTCTGGTTCTTCGTGATTGCCACAGCAAGTCGAGCCTGTTTCTCGGCCCTCTGTGCCCTGTCCCTACCCTCCTTAGCCTTCCTCTCAGCGTCTCTAGCCTGCTTCCTGTTCCTCTCAGCCACCTTGTAAGCTTTTTTTGACGTCTCAGCCTCCTCCTTCCAAGCTTTCCTTACCGGTACCATCTCCGCTTCTAACCTCCACTGCTCACGACGGGCTTTGTTCTCAGCAGCCCGGGCTTTCTTCAGTTCAGCCCGGGCTTTCTTCAGATCAGCCTCGGCCTGGCTTGCCCTCTTTTGGCACTCCTGGAGCGGGTCGTCCAGATTGCAGCTCGCGTGACCGTCCTGGGCGGCACGGCCGCGCTCCCGCGCGACGAGCAGCGCGCGCCACCCGCCCTCGGCGGAGCCCTTGGCCTAGGTCGGGCACGTCCCCCTACAGGCAGATCTTGGAGGAAAAATAGAAGATGCCCCAAAGATATCCAAACACACACCCAGAAAGAGTACACAGAATGGTCCCCAAACCATTTTCCTGACTGGCTCTGCATTTTTTCCTCCCGGTAGAGGCACAGGCCCGACGGAGCCCTTGGCCGCGGCGACCGCGGCTCCGCGCCCGCGGCTGCGCTGGCTCGGCGCGGCTCCCCCCCGGAGGAGGAGGAGGAGGAGGAGGAGGAGGAGGAGGAGGAGGAGGAGGAGGAGGAGGAGGAGTGGAGGAGGAGGAGGAGGAAGGAAGGAGGAGGGGGGAGGAGGAGGAGGAGGAGGGAGCGCGGAGGAGGAGGAGGAGGAGGAGGGAGTGAGGAGGGTAGGACAGGAGGAGGCGGAGGAGGAGGAGGAGGCTTCCCCCCCGGCGGCCTCCCGTCCTCCAATCTCAGCGCCCGCCCTCGTTCGTGCCCGGCCTCCTCGGACGCCCTCGTCGTTTGCTCGTCGCCTCGGGGGACCCCTAGGAGCGCCGTTCTCGCGGGCGCCGTTCTCGCCCGCCCCCGGGCCGCCCCCGCGCGCGAGGTCGGCGACGGCCGCGGCGCGGTGCGCGTGGCCCGCGGCGCCTCGAGAGTCCGCCAAGATGGGGCTCCGAGCAGCCGGTGTCGAGGGATCGTGCCGCAGCGCCGATGCAGCGCCGATGCATCGGCGCTGCACCGGCGACGCACCGGCGATGCCTCGGCGCCGCCGCCACACCTCGAGCCGCATCGTCGATGCGTCGATGATGCGGCGCGATGCTCCGACCCCACCTGCTGGGACCCCATCAAGGAGGCCTAGAGTGAAGGGGCCCTGGGACACACCAATAAAAACACACACAAACCACTGGGCTCCCCATAGTTGCACACATCTTCTGGGTCTTTTGCCTCCCCCCCCCTTCCCATAGATTCCCATATCTCCAGGGGAACCGAAGATTCGACTGGGGGATCGACTACGGAATTAATTTACCCCAAAATCGATTCTCACGTCGACTCTTCCACAAAAACATACGTCAACCATCCGTAGACCCGCGAAAAACTTCTACGACTTTGCCCGTGGACTCGACGAGAAAAACCTCCATTCTGGGGCAAGCCAGTTCTGCCGTCGACCTCCTGCTCGAGAGATGAACTGTGTCTGTGTGCTTTCTTCCCCTCCTGCTGTCGGAGCGCCTCGCGGCGCGGCGACCGCGCCGTCGCGGGGCCGCCCGCCCAGCGCCGCCACCGAGCCGCGGGCGTCGACGACAGCGCCCTGCGCCGCGGGGGCGCCGTGCCCCCCCGCGGGCGGGCGCCGGGGCGGCGCCTCGCGGCGCAGCAGCGCGCCGGGGGGCCGCTGGCGCGGGGGCGGGAGCGCCCCGCGCGCGGGCGGGAGCGCCGCGCAGAGGAGCGCGAGGGCCGGGTGTTGCTAGAAGTGTCAGTCGGGCGTGTCCCCCGACGGGGGGGCTCTTCGAGGAATAAATAGGAAAATGCGCAGAGGATTCTCAAAACAGAGGCTCAAAAAATAGTCCCCAGCCTGCTTGTTTTAACTGTCTTTGGAGTTTCCCCCGGTAGAGAGACAGGCCCGACTTAATGCTAGAAGTGCCCCTGGCCCAAAGTGCCCCCAGCTTTTCGCTCCATTTTGGAGCCCCTGGGGACCTCTGGGCCTCGTGAGGGGTGCCATCTGGGCACGAGAATCCTGGGAGTACCTTAGGCCAGGGGTACTTCTAGCAACACCCGAGATGATGCAGCTATATGGACGCATCGGCGTTGCCGGTGTTTCTCGTGGGCCTGCTCGTCTCCTCGAGACGGTGGGCTCGAGCCAAAGCGGTTGCGGACAACCCTCTTGGGCCGCCTGGAGTTTTTTGGCGGGGGGCTTGGGCTGTCTCGGGGCCCTCCCGTGGCCCTCTTAGGGACTCTTTTCGGCAACCTTTCGAGACCGTCAGGGGCCTCTGTTGGGTTTCTTGGGGCTCTCCTGGTTGGGCCGTCTTGGAGCCCACTAGGGCCGTCGTGGGGCCCTCTCGGGGACCTCTTGGGCCGTCTTGGGGCGGTCCTGGGGGCCTGTTAAGCCGTCTTGGGCCGCTGCTCAGACCAAAGAAGCGAATGTGCTAAACATATGGGCTTCCCCGATGGACTGGGGTCCCTTGGGGGGCCTCTTGGGGCGTCTTGGGGGCCTCTCTAGCTGTCTTAAGGCAGCCTTGGTCTCGCTTTGAGCGCTCTTGGGCCGTCTTGGGGTCCTCTCGGGCCTCCCTGAGACCGTCCTGGAGGTATGTCAGGCCGCCGCCTTGGGAGACTCTTGGGCCGTTTTGGGTGCCTCCTGTGCGTTCTCGAGGCCGACTTGGGCCATTTTGGCCCGAGAATGGCCGAAGTTCGGGTGATTAGGTCTTGGGTTTTCCCCTGCCAGCCCCCTTCACACTCCCGCTTGTTGATTTTCCGAACTAACGGATCGCGACACAACGCGCGTTTCTTGTCATCTGGGGCGGGTCCCAACAAACCCCTCACACTGGCCCCTCGCGACGCCACGCGCGCTTTCCGCCATCCATGTCCCCAGTGGCCAACCCCCTCATACTCCCCGTTGTTATTTCTCCTGGCTCACGGATCGCGATGCTACGCACGCTTTCTGTCCTCAGCCGCCCCCTTGTGGTCTTGCCACATGGGTGCACGGCGTGCCGAACGTCTTGCAAGATTTTGGCTATTCCAGGTCGCCTCTGCCTTGCGCATGTCCTCATCGTCGTCATGTGGGTGTATGCAGTTCCGCCTCCATTTCTGCGCACCCTTCACGCGCTTCATGGCCCCATAGGATGCTCCGCCGAAGGCCCCAGTGGTAGGGGCAACATGAAGTTCCACCTCCATGACGGCGCACATCTCACACGCTTCGTGGCCCCATGGGGTGCTCCACCGAAGGCCCCAGTGGCAGGGTCCGCATGCAGTTCCACCGCCATTTCGGCGCACCCCTCACACGTTCCGCGGCCACACAGGGTGCTCCACCGAAGGCCCCATTCGCAGGGTCCGCATACAGTTCCACCCCCATTTCGGCGCATCCCTCACACGATACATGACCCCACAGGGTGCTCCACCGAAGGCCCCAGTGGCAGGGTCCGCATGCACTTCCACCTCCGTTTCGGCGCACCCCTCACTCGTTTCGTGGCCACATGGGGTTCTCCACCAAAGGCCCCAACCGCAGGGTTCGCACGCAGTTCCGCCCCGGTTCCCGCGCACCCCTCACACGCTTCGTGGCCCCAGAAGGGTTCTCCACCGAAGGCCCCAACGGCGGGGTCCGCATGCAGTTCCACCTCCGTTTCGGCGCACCCATCACACGTTTCGTACTCAAGATGGCTCCAAGATGGCTCAAGAGGGCCCCAAGAAAGGCCCAAGAGAGCCCACAAACGGCCCCAAGAGCGCCCAAGAGCGCTGCAAGAGGGGCCCAAGAGAGGTCCAGTGAGGGGCTCCCGAGGGGGGAAGCAAATTGCGACCATCCCCTTCTTTGATCGATGTCCTCCAAGATGGCCCCAAAAGCGCCTCGAAACTCCATGAGGCTCCCAAGAGACCCCCTGGAGGCTCACCAAGTAACGGGAGGTCCTCGCCCCAATCCTCTTCCTCCTTTAATCCTCCTAAGCCTCATTCTCCGCCTGGGGCATATTCCTACTCCTCACTCCGACTATGTGTTATGTTTGTCATCCTCCTCCCAATCTCAGCCGCCCGCATCATTCACTACTCCTCCTCCTCCTACTCCTCCGCCCTCCACGCTCCTGCCGTCGTCCGCTCCTCCTCCTCCTCTTCATCCTTCTCTTCATCCGCCCAGTTGTCCCCCTCTTGCTTGCTTCGCGCCCTCCTCACTCCGCACCTCCCCCTCACCTCCTTCCTCCTCGCCTCCTCTCGTCCTCCTCCTCCTCCCCACTTGATCCTCTTCCTCTCCTCCTACCTCTGCCTCGGCTCCCTCCTACTCCTCCTCCTCCTCGCTCTTGAGGTCGTCCTCTCTCCTCCTCTCTTCCTCCTCCTTCCCCCTCCTTCTCTCCTCCTTCGCTCACCCTCCTCCTTCCTCCTCCTCATCACGACTCCTCCTCCCTCCTAACTCCTCCTCCTCCTCCTCCTCCTCCTCCTCCTCTCCCTCATCCCCCTTGTCCTTTTTTCCCATCTTTCCTCATTCGGCAAGTCCGCGAAGGTGCATACGGTTCGCTCCTGGGCCTCTGCAGGCTGATCCAAGACATCAGCTTGACGGCTTCCCCAACTGCTGATCCACTGCATGCTACTCCGCTTCACTGATTAAGGTAACTCGCCACGGCATCATTTGTGGATGAGCTGGTGGGGATACGTTTTTTGGTCGCAGCCGCAAGCGAAAGCGCAGGCGGCGAGAAGGGAGTCCGGGCCAACGGGCAAGCCTCATTAGCTACAAGGCGCAGCGCGAGCCGGCCGGGCCAGCCCTCAGAGGCAGCAGCTGCGGCAGCGGCGGCGGGGGGCTGGCTGGCTGAACTGCAACGCCCAGGGAAGCTCGAGCATCATGCAGACCTGTGGCATAGTGCCAAGGAATTCCCAACTGTGCTCCGCGGCGCCAGTCCACCACGGTGTAGGTGCCATGCCGAGACAGAGTGTCCTACACGCACAATCCGCACAAACACTGTAGCGAGAAAAGGCCAGGTACACACTGGTCATGTCGCCAGAGGGCGCCAAGGGCCACTGCCTGGTCGGCTGGGACGGGTCGAAGATGGAAGCACAGCGTCCGCCGGAAGGCTGGACCACTCCGAGACGCCACACACGTATCCTGTGGTGGACGCCAGTCCCGAGCAAGTAGCAACGACCCGGCCCGGGAGGCGATGGCACCTGTGGGCCCGGCCCAGGGTCACGACGTGAGCGCCGTAGAGAACCGCGTATTGCGCGGAGAGCAAGCCGGACTGGCGGGAATGGACGTCGCCAGCGCGGCCGGAAGGGTGGGCACCAGGGGGCGGCAGCGCCAGGGGGCGATCACCCACATTGCGATGCAGGGCCACGGGGTCCTG